ATAAAGCTCTAAAATAAAAGCTTCAATTTTCCCTAGCGATGTTTTAATTTTACGCGACACATTATTCATGCAGTCCTTGTAATAATCATGCGTCCCAATGGATCCACATGATTCGTAAAATCTCGTATTAGTCCATGTAAAATAAAAGGTGGTCCGCTAGCGCGACGGCACATTTGAAATTTTGCGATGCGAAGGCACCGCATTTCCATGAAATTTACATACGGATCTCGAAATCCCGCGAAATTTCTTATGGAAACGATGATGACATTAATGTTTGAATTTTGAATTGTGAGTGGAAGTGTCACGAAACTTCTGAAAGTGTCTTGCTAGCAATTTTTATACGTCGGCATTAATTTATCGAAATTGGTTGCGAATTTGAAATTTGTCTTATTTCACAAATATTTCATATATCAATTTGATTGAATGTCAGTTTATAAATATATTCGATGATGATATAATATTTATAAAATAACTGAATTTTACCTGTAACATGTCGAATTCCATATTTTCGATTCGATATAATTCCATTATCTTTTATGTAATTTTGACTATTCTCGTGTTTCCCATTTGCGGAGTTCGCAACGTGACTTTTCCCTCGCAATGATTATGAATCATAATGGATGCCGCTTCTCATATCAGACATTGACAAATAAAAGGTGTAGCTCGTCGTGCGGTTCTTGAAATAGAAGTAAAAGCCTCGATAGGTTTTCCTAGCTAAAAGCTTTCCGAAAGCAGTGCCATTTGTTTTACTTTCACCCGGACGATTACATGATAGATTATTCACGTAACTCCCTGGTATCAGAAAGCAGCGCGGGAGCCACGGCATAAATCACAATGGACGGTGTCTTTGTTTTAAAAAGCCGCGTGCGCGCGCTCCCACTATGTCGAACGAAATAAAATATATAACGGCGCTCGTGTGCTCTCGACTTTGCTCGAAGGCGGACTGCTTTTTAATGCAACACACGCTATTTTGCATTTTGCACGTCGACAACGTTCGCAAGAGCTCCGGGCGCGTTTCTTACGAAGCAACAACGACGTGCCGTTTCCGATTAAGAGATGAAAGGAAATAACATTTTGTGAACGTAACATTATTATTTAAATGCATTTTTTATTGATTATATAATGATCTAAAATGCTAAGTTGATTTCCGAGCATTTATCCAGTAATTTGATATCATTTATATATAATTTTCAGTTGCGACTAATGTCGATTTGTTCGAAAATAATTTTGAACGTTTTCAGTTTCATCTATAAAAAAAACACATTAGAATGTGCGTCGTTTAATGGTGCTCTTAAAATTATTTCAATTTTATTCTGAGAATAATTTCAGACTTCTCTCTGCTTTTGCTTCTTAAACTTTTCACATGTATTTAATTAAAATAATGAAACACTGCGCATATTTCTGAATGAGAGACTTAAGCCGTAAGTAAGAATAGCTTGGCTTTTTCTCGATAAAACATGTATTGAGTTTTCTTTCGCTGACAACGTGACAATTAGAAGCGATGGGCAGCTGGCGCGCTGGCGGGATTTAACGGCGTCGGGGATAATTTACAGTTCGCGCCGCGATCGTCCGTAACGCGATTTCCATTCGGAGGCGACGAAGGAAAAAGATGCGACTGAGGGCGGCGGACAGACAACGAGGGTGGAAAGAACGAGGTCGTCGACCGTCCCTTCTCGAGTCGTCCTCGTTTTCCCTCTCTCGTTACTGTCGTGTCGCGGCTAGAGATGGAGAACTCAACTTTACACTCTTCGATTTCGTCATTGAATCAATCACCCCCGTGAGAACAATTATACAGTGAAAAGCTTGGTCTTAACTCGCGAACTTAAATAAATCGACCGTGGAGATTTAAAAATGCTCGTCAATGTGACAATTTAACGCGGTGGCAATTATATTTTTGTCACGCAATTACTTTTCACTTTTATTACAAACTAACGAGAAAAATAAAAAGCGAGAGACGCGAATATTTATTATTTCGGACAAGATTTCAATTATATTAATTATATATTATATTAATTATATTATATATAATTATGCTATATGCGTGAATTATTTGAACCAAAATAATAAGTAAATGCTAATGCAACTATAAATTAATAAATTTTTATTCTTATTACGCAGAATTTAAAAATAATGTATTTTAAGATATTTTCTATTTCTTGTGTTATAAAATGATTAGAAGAACGTCAAAGTATTTTATCATCCGTAAATTTTAAAATATTATTATGTTTTCAACCTTTACATATTTCTTTGTGAAAAATTTTGTTTGCTTGTTTAATTAATAAATTACAGTAATTTTGCAAAATTTATCCGCAATCAACGCGAAAACTTGTTAACTAATAGTCACAAAAACACTAATATCACACTTAAAAACCGATTTGGTAAAGCACTTGGATCTGAAGCATCGTCAAGCGATTATAAATTTACTCAGTAATCACTTTGTAGCCAGATCCGCGCGTAACTTGCCATTAGATTATCGTATTATTTCGAATAACAGTGGTATTGAGAGATTTCTCCATCGTTCAAGCCGCTATTTCACGCGGAAAATAACAATTTGTGGAACTGAGTATAATTCGAGATTTACTGAGTTTTTCTTTAAATATTTATTTGACCTATTTTCTTATATGGAGTCTTTATATATTTAAAACATTTTTATCTGAAATTCTATAACCGCATTTAACTTGTATCGACTGCATTTTTGCCAACATTAAAATATATCCTCAAATTTATATCATTATAAAAAAAAAGCGGTATTAATAATAAACTTAGGATTTTCAAAAAAATTTCCTTTCTAGAATAATAGATCTTTGAATCAGAATATCATTAATTAATGACATACATATTTATAACGACGTGTTGAAGTTACGTCGATAATAATTCTAGCACGTGGATTGGTTTTAAATGCTTGACGTAATAAAGTAATATATTTAGCTTTGGCAAAATATAGCAAGTTTAACCTCGTTTTACTTCCACAGTGCAATGTATTGAGATATTTTTAAAATCTCATTTCTTCTCGCTTCTTATTTGTAGAGTAAATAGTAAAATATATATTTTTTGAAAATGTTTATTAATCATAATGCTAAATGCATATAATAACATTGAAAAAGTAAGTGGATATATTGTGAGGGTTTAAGCTAATGTAATGTAATCCCTAATATTATTATAATAATATTGTTAATAATATAACGATGTGTATAAATAAATTCTAATTAACACGGAGATAAATGGCTATCCACTAACTAAATTTTCTGGACTAATTTCATTTACTAATGACAAAAGCCATTTACGCGCGAATTATAGTGAGCTATGATAGTACGGCCATTCGATTGTGCGAGGATATCCGTGCGCGAGAGATCTTCATTTTCTGCATAACGTGATTCATCCTATTTGCGAAATTCTGTTTAGCTTACTACACGCATTCTGTACTTCCTCTTTCGTCAGTCGATATTATTACACACGTATAATTGATGATCATTGTATGACTAATGGATACATGATTATTTGCGAAATTAACCCTTTGCTACATTAAGTGATTACGTTTCCGTTGCAAATAACAGCAATGTTCCTGAGAATATTTAAAAATTTTATCTTTTCTATTAGAAAGGAAATTATTTGTCAAACTTAAGCAAAATTTAAATTTATTTTTCTTTTTAGACCGCGTGTATCCCATTAACACCACGAAATTCGTTGAACGATAATTGTTTTAGAGACAGCACTATCACGATACAAATTGCGTAGCGTGATCAGATTTCAGATTTCCTATAATTACGATGTTATTATCATCAATGAATGTACAAATCAACGGTTTGCATACAAACGGGACTGTATCATGTCTTCCATGTTGTTATTAATTAATCAAAATGTTTTACAATATCTCAAACTACACCAAATTGTTATTGGTTTATCAAAATGTTACTAAGATAGTTTGACATTTGTTACATTTTTAGATTATTTTTCTCTTTCCTCTTTTTTATATTTTAAAGAAAGTAATATAACTAGCTTTAGTTTGGACAGTGCCAAACAGTGCAACTAGGCAGTGTATATTCAACTTATAACAGATAGATCTGTTTATGATTTGTTTTCAAATTTTCCAATTTAAAAAATTCTCTCTTTTTCTGACTGTTTCTTTTTCTCCCTTCTCACGATTTTTTTGCATCAAACTTTATTTTTCTCCGAAATTT